AAGTACCCTGGTCTCAAAAAGTTCAAATGCAACCTGAGAAACTTTCTTTTACATTTTATTTTTGCGGAGAAAAATTCAAACTCAGCTTGAAATTTATCATATAAGAAAGGATAAACTATTTTTTGGGCCATAGGACGATTTGCAACAATTGTTTTTTGTGGCTTGACGTAAGCTATTTTCGATAAAAAAAAAGGTAAAATATAATCTCTATGATCTATATAATCAATAATCTATGATCTAAATAAAAAAGGTACAGCACCCTTGAAAAAAAAAACGGAATTTTTTATAAGTGTATGTTATAACAAATTAAACGCGTTGCGATAAAAACCAGTAACACTACCTTTCTCGCTTTCACAGGTCTGTTTAACACTTGACGATATCGAAATTCTAAATTTAAATCCACTAGTTCTCACTCTATTATGGGTCAGCTATTAGTCACCCACCTCTCGTACACTGTTCAAGATACTTCAGTGCAACAAGACAGTCAAGTTTTCAAACCGGCAAACCGGTTTTCACACTTATCTGTTTGCTTTTTGGTGGACTCAGTCTTAGCATCCCAGATCAAGACTGAGGAAGAGACTTTATAGGTGAAGCCGATGCCATTGGTGGTCAACTATTTGTGCACAGTTCAAGATCCATTCAGCGCAGCAAGACAGTCCAGTTTCCGAAACCGTTTTCAAACTCTTCTCTTTGTTTTTTTTGGTGGACCAAGTCTTAGCATCCCAGATCAAGACTGAGGAAGAGGCTTTGTGGGTGAAGCAGACTCCATTACAGGTCAGCTATTAGTCACCTATCTCTTGTACACAGTTCAAGATCCGTTCAGCGCAGCAAGACAGTCCGTTTCCGAAACCGTTTTCACACACATCTCTTTATCTATTGGGGACCAAGTCTTAGCTCCCAGATCAAGACTGAGAAAGAGACTTTGTGGGCGAAGCTGACTCAATCGCTGGTCAACTGTTTTGTCACCCATCTCTTGTACACAGTTTAAGATCCGTTCAGGGTAGCAAGACAGCCCAGTTTCCAAAACAGTTTTCACACTCTTCTCCTTTGTTTTTTTTGATGGACCAAGTCTTAGCGTCTTAGATCAAAACTGAGGAAGAGACTTAATGAGTGAAGCCAATACCACTGCTGATCATTTATTAGTCACCCACCTCTTGTACACAGTTTAAGATCCGATCAGTGCGCAGCAAGACAGTCCAGTTTCCGAAAGAGTTTTCGCACTCTTCTCTTTGTTTTCTGGTGGACCACGTCTTAGCACCCCAGGTCAACACTAGTACTCACCCATCTCATGAACACAGTCCAAGATTTGTTCTGCGCAGTAAGACATTCTTGCTTTGGAAACAACTTTCCTTCTCTCCCCTTTTGCTCTAACTTGCAAATGATACAAAAAGTTGCCATGAGATGGACAGTGGCTTCGACAAGGAGGGGCAGTCCAACAAAACACTACAGGAAGACTCTGAATTGTTTCAAAATGCAGGTACAAGTTCAAACAGCCAGCCCAAATACAGCAAGGACAAGATGAAGAGCACCTCTCTTACCTGAGAAGGAAACAATGAGAACTGGTTAAGAAGGAATATATTTAGTGTATCGTTCCTCACAACATAAACAGTACTTTTATTGATTTGGAGAGCAAGACAAAGGTGGAAAATCAATCACTTAATCAAAACTTTAACAAGAATTCTCTTAATATGTGATTGGTTCTCATCACCAATTTGGGCACTAATTGGACAGTAGGCTACCCTGGTCCCAGAGGTTCTCTTCTCTCTACCGGAGTACGAGAATTCGGCGCGAAGTGCCGACCAACGAGCTGCAAAGCAGCGAGCGGAGAGAACATCTGGTCAGGACCGTTGAGAATCTCACTTTCATGCCACCAAGCTTCAGGTGACAGCCATCAATCATGCCCCTTTCCGACAACCAATCAGAGGTATTTTACCCCCAGAGGTATTTTAGTACTTAACTCTGTTTGGTTGTCGGAAAGGGGCGTGATTGATGGCTGTCACCCGAAGCTTGGTGGCATGAAAGTGAGATTCTCAACGGTCCTGACCAGATGATCTATCCGCTCGCTGCCTTGCAGCTCGTTGGTCGGCGCTTCACCCCGAATTCTCATACTCCGGTAGAGAGAAGAGAACCTCTGGGACCAGGGTAACAGTAGGCACATAATACTAATTGGACAGTGTTACCAGTCTGGAAAGTATTACATGTTGTGCCTTGAATTGGAGAGTACATGTCATGTGCACGTGCTGTTGTCACACATTTTGCAGAGTTGAGTGATTTTTTTTTAGAAAATATGTAACCAATTGCTAGTATGTATCTCAAATTAATTTTTGTCACAGTTTTGATCTATTGGTAATAAGGCTGAGTGAAGTTCAATTCTGTCTGTATTCAAACAGACTCCCATTTCATGGTAGTCTGATTTTGTAAATCACTTTCTTACAGACTGAATTAGACTCCACTCAGTCCTAAGAACACCATTACTGATATATAACTATCACAAAGTTCTTAAATGTAATTGGTCACCACCAGCCCAATTTTAGCACTTAACTTACTCGACAGTGTGTGTGTGCCACACTAGTAAGTGGATAGTATACATATCATGCCTGTTTAATTGGAGAGTACGCGCAGTGTGCACATGCTGTTGTCAGGCATTTTGTTGAGTTAACTGTTGTTGTCTTCTTTAATGAAGACATTCAACTGCTGGGTATTGTGTGTCTCAAATTTTGTCATAGATTAATTGGTAATAAGACTGAGTCAAGGTCAATTGTCTGTAATCAAATTTCTAATTAACAAATAACTCATATGTTTATGGAATGAATTGCACTACACTCAAACCTATTATCATCACCAATTATTGTAGTACAAATTGTGGAAAAGGCAAAAATAAAAAAAACAAAACAAAACATTATGAAATACACATTTTGTGAAAAACACCACTGAATAAGCAGGAGTCATGTCCTCCAGTCTTTAAAAATCCACAAACAATAAACCAGATCACATGTCAATACTGTGCGTTCAAAGATTACACTAAAAAACATTTTCTCAGGAGTGTCTCTTCTTAGAAATTCTGGAGGTCTTCTATTATGTGCGGAAGAACCTCTCTAAACATTTTGCCATAACTCTCTCAATCTTTTCATTGTTAATTAATATTAGTCTCCGATTCTCTATCGATCTTCTACCTTTGTTTTTCTTTTCTGAAAGTATTATTATTTTATTGGTTTGTTTTTGATCTGCTGAGAGTTTGACTACATGCATGTAGGAATATTTAAAAAAAGAAATGAGAAAATCCCAACTTTGGCCTACAAAACTCTACAGTATTCAGTAGTCACACCATTGTTATCAGGGTTCTCTTTAGTTAAAAAAGGGCGATAGAACATTCTAAATTTTGTCAAAACCCTGTCAAAAATGTCTTGCGGTAAATGTGGGAATCATAGGAAAACAAAACTTTTACTGTATGCAGTACTGTTATGCAAGGCTGACGAAAGCCTTGCATGATGACACAGTGCTTCTTTTCTTGAAATGTTATATGCTTCTTTTTGACTCTGTTGAATTTACAAATCTAGTGTGCACATGATCAACCACTACATGCTACATTGTTTAAAGAAGTTAATTTTCATTCTAAGTAAAAAAATCAAGTCCATATTACCTTATATCAGATATAGAAGAACTTCTGAATTCAAGAATCCAAATTTCTGAGTGGCCACAAAAGCTGTGGGTCAAATTACTAAGTATTCACTAGTACATAAACTTTATTCAGGTGTCGTGTAACTTTAGCATGGTGCTGCTAATTGAGGACACTGAAACATAAATAACAAAATAGGACTCAATTGGTAAAGCGCTGCACTAGAATCGCAGAGGTCAGTGGTTCGAATCCCGTACAGGCCTGATTTTTTTCAGGTCTGATTTTCGCTATTGCATAAATAGCGCTCTCTACTGCGAGGATCGTGCATCATACATAAAACAGGACTACTATATACACTATAAATAGTAGAAACATTGAGTTATGTGTATACGTACAAGGTTAAAAATTGCAGGAATATAGTTTAAGAATGACTAATGAATGAATAGATATGGGTTATTAACCAAAGGTGAGGTCAAGATGGCTGGCTATTAGCCTCATTCTCTTTTTGCAGTTTTATGGACCAAGATGAAGTCGAGGTCTACAAAAATGCACAAAAATAATGAGGCTAATATCTAGCCATCTTGACCTCATAAGCTTGGTTAATAAAGGATTTATTATCTTGCAAAAACATTTTGCTTTAATAAGAATGAGGAATGACTTGTTTACTTCAAGAGCCAGGAAAGAAAGCCAACTGTGTTTATAACACAACAAACTCATAAGAGTTGTTTCTTTTTTTTTTTGACTATCTTCTGCCACTTATTCCATTTCCATTGTCCAAGAATCATGAACATACTATATTTATCAGTGTATAAGTCAACCTTTTATGACCAAAAATTCAGCCCAAAAAATCACCCTCGACTTATACACGGATCATATACAAAGACCTGACCCAAGTAGTCCAAGAAATTAGCATAACAATTGCCTGAAGTCCATTAGGAAAACCGAGTTTACTAAACCAGTTCTAATTGCATTTGAGTTTCATCAGTTTTCCGCATGGTCTTTGTCAAAGAAAAACTTAGAAATGGAAGATTTTACTTGGCTTAAACAGAAACCTACTGGAGCTAATTTCTATTGTATGTTCTGATCTGTAGAGCAGAGATTTGTCCTTACAGCTTCCCTGCTTTTCACTGTCCTGAATTCTCGTCTACATCGAACAATTACAGTAGCTTAGTGATCTGGCAAGTCCTGCAAAGTTTTCCAAGATGGCAGTGTTTTCATCAAGCCATCCTTTGAAGCTCTTCGGCATTCCTTTGGTCAACTAAATCTCCTTTCAAACTCAACATTAAGATAAAGGTTATTAAATGCATGAAGATTTCACTTTCAAAGCAATTTACAAAATATGGTAAATTACTTCTCCAGCAAATCAAAGTGCTCGTATATGCCTAAATCATGAATCGTGCTGATGTAAACAAGTGCTACTAAACTTCACAGCACACGGTTACATTTTGCTCTGCAGTTTTTTTTATTCACCATGTTTTCAATACATTCTCAGAAATGAGAGATCAACCATTATTTTGGGAAATTTCTATCGGTCTGAATTTTTCTTTAATTACAAATGATGAAAAATTCGATTTTTGACCTTGAAAATGGGAGGTCGACTTATACACTGCTTCAACTTATTTGCAGATAAATACAGTAGTTTTAATTCAATTTTTTTCATGCACAGGATCAATATAAGCAATCCTGAGCAGGCAAGATGGGCCCATCTTGCCCGCTCAGGTAACCAATCAGAACACAGGATTTGCTTCACTTTGCCCACAAGCACTGCGAGCGATACAATATAATTAATGAATGATTATAGTTTAAGAATGACATAGAAAACCGCCAGCTGCATACAGTTCCCTAAACTTTGGAGTACTATGCTGGACTCTGAGTCCAGGATAGTACTGCCCAGATTTAAGACCTGGCGAGGTGAGTGTGTTGTGTTCTGTAGCAAGACACTTCACTCTCTCATGATACTCCACAACACCCGAGAGAGTAGCAGGGTGGGTAGCCTGTGCAGTAGAGTAGCATCCCATCCAGGGCCAGGGGGAGTAACGATATTCCCAGTCAGTTTATGCTACAGAAGCTATCGTAAGAATACTAGGTTACTTCGCAACTAAAAATAACAGGAAGCAGAAATCAAAAGAAAAAAATACACTTCAAGCAGTTTTTGGACTAATTCATTGCTGCAGCTTATTACCTTTGACATTTGATTGAGTGTCACACGTGGTCTCCAATTCAACGTTTTCCAGACGCTTTTACCGCACTCTTTCCGTTTAAACGTCGTCAGACAAGAGCTTACATGTTCTAAAAGGCGAGTGATGTTTAAAACACCGTTTTTTCAACTGTTGTGGTATCAAGATCGGCGGTTAGTTGCGCTGTTTACGACGCCATGTCGGATTTACTGAAAACTAATTCCCAGTTCTTTTTTACTGACAAAGGGCTGCGCGGACAGACAACACGCGAAATAACGCGGCAACACGCGCATAAGGACATTCACCCACCAAACAAACTCTGTCGGCTCCAGAACCTCTTAAAACATGGAGGGAACATATGTAAGCAGTCACATGACTCGCAGAAAACTTTAAAAGAACAATTGTTCAATAGGCTCCTTAACGTCATCGCGAGTTTCGCCTGCCTTAGAGAAGAGGTGAGGCAATGTGTCCTTGCTGTTTGGTTCATTCTTTTCCGTTTAGGATTTCCTTACTTCATCTTTCCTTTATAGAGGATGGGCGGATTGGCCACAACGCGATCTCTGTAACCTCTGGAGCTTTCGGTCGGCAATTTCCACTCTTTCTCCCGCTGTTTAATACCTTATCGAAGGATAAATTAAAGGATAAATTAAAACTTCCCCTATTCAATCCAATAGATGATAGCGCGTGTTATTATGCCATCATAGTTGGTGTGCCATGAATTTCGATGGGTACACTAAAACTCTAAAAGTAGGTAAATCACTGAGTTTACTGATACTGCATACGAACACAGTGTGCATTATGTCAGAGCTTATCCCGGTTTCAGACCGACCAGGACAGGGCCGTAGC